TTTTTTTTCCTTTTGTGAAATAGGGCTTACATTTGATGACACTTCATCCAAAAAGCCAATAAAAATTCGAAAATGTGGATCTTAAGGCTTTTCACAAAGATTTGCCAAGAATAATGAAAACTTTTGGTAATAAGGACAGAAAATGATTTCCCTTGTTCAACTTGAACCAATCAAGCCTTATTTTATATTTCAAAAGCTCTCTAAGTTAAAATTATTTTTGAGTCTCTTCAATTTTGACTAACAGGGAGGTTCAACTGTGTACAGACAAATTAGTTGTCTGAGGCAGTTACCTTTACTTGAACATTCACTGTGTCGAAAAAAAAATACAACAGGGATTTTTTCTGTTTGGGGGAAAGAAAGTAGGTCAACAGCAGAAAAATATCCCTGAAAAGATTTAATTTGTTTTCTTGGCTTCAATTACTCAGCTGAGAGGCAGCTGTGCCACCCCTTGTCAACGGTTTTATGGCTTTGCAACCAGGGGGGTTTTCTTTCCCGAATTCTTTTTTGTTTTCTTCTGTGTTTTTTTTAGCGTTTTAAGGCCGGGAAAATGTGTGTTTTCACACACCTACAGTCTTTTTTGACATCATTTGACGGTGGGAGCCGTTTTTCATTTCAAGGACTCACTGAATTCACGCATAACTCACTCACATGCTGCTTTTGCATTTATTGTCACATTTAGACAAATTTCTGGAGTTGACGACGAGTGTTTCTGTACGTGTGTACAGAAAAGCGCAGTCGAATTTTACACAGGAATTCATTTGGCCTTTTCACAGCAATACGGATGAAAGAGCACAAATGTTGTATGAATCAACCCATGAAACATGCACTCAATTGAAATAGCACTTACAAAAGTTTTGAAGTGCTTTACTATACAGGTGGACACTCCCTACAATGAAATTCAAGGAACTAGACAATAGTCCTTGTAGCGATAAATTTGTGGGACAGAACCCTGCAGGGCGAAAAGATTTGCTGTACAGAGAAAATTGTTGTAGACGAGATTCCTACAGAAAGAGTCCATGGTGTGCAATTTAAGCCTCTCCAACACATGGTTGCATAAGAGGTTGCAAATACAGTTGGACCTCAATAAGTTAAACCTCCCTCACTTGAATTTTTTTACAAGTACCTGTCTGAATTCCCTTAGAAACAATGTACAGTTGAACCTCAATAAGTCAAACCTCCCCAAATGAAAAAATGTTCCAGTCCCTGTGTGAATTCCTTTGGAAACAATGTACAGTATTAAAACCTCTCTAACTCAAAGAATTTTCCTCTCAAACCTCCCGAACTCAAATTTTCTGAGGCCTTTTGGCTATAAGTTTCTTGCCACAGAAAAAATAAAATCAATAAAAACAGAATTTAATATGTTTGGAATAATGGAAGTGAAAGACTGATTGGGCAAATGAAACCTTGATGTATCCAAGTTCAGCATCTGGTCAAATTATTTAGGAAGCAATTCAAGGCCCAGGCTATTATCAGTTACAATTTCTGGAAATTCTTCCATTTTTTCTGCTTCCAAAAATGTCTGCTTCCTAACTCAAAACCTCACAAACTCCGAACATCCCCAAGTAAAAACCTCCCTAAGCCAAACTTTGTTGCTGGTCCTTTGAAATTCAGCTTACAGAGGCTTGACTTGATTATAAACCTCCCCACCTGGAAGGATTTTCCTCTCAAACCTCCGTAA